AGGAGTAGATGAAAAAAATATCTTTTTCCTCAATTTCTTTGATTCAGTGAAATGGAAACCAACAGAAATGTATAGTGGGTTATTTGCTTGATATTCACATAAGCTGGTATCGTGCTAAAATATCCTGGACTTTTATGAAGTCAAAAATCCAGCATTAATTGGTAACTCAAGGCATAAATTTTTATCAATTTTTTTTTCTTTTCCTTCAAAACTGTAAAATGGGGTTTCAAAAACACAATATAAACAAAAATAGATTCAAGAAGATTTTTTTCTAATTCGTATGCTTCCTCAAAATTTTCTTAATTTAGATCCAATGGTATTTTGGCCGTAAAATCCAATGGGCCCGATGAAATATTTTGATAAAAACAGATTTGTATTCCCATGCGTTTCATTCAACTTATAAAATAAATTTTAGAGGTGGTCGTAACAACGAGGTCAAAATCGCTTCCGGGGAGGTGTGCCCTTTACTGCAACTTTAACAATATTGGAATTTTAAAATGAAAATGTTTTTTTTTGATTTTTTAATAAAAGAAAAAGACAAAAATAAGCAATAGTATCTATGTTTGGCAGAAGTATGATTTGATTCCATACCAAATTACCTATATGATGCATATCGATGGAACTATTGATAATGTTTACGTAGGGCGGTAAGTTTAGACAGTTGCGGCTTATAAGGGGTAGAGCGCTTTCAGACTTTTCATTTCGTTCGTTCTACGTTCGTAAACGAACCATGTTGTTCTTGTTTTTCTTCAATCGTACAAAAAAAAAATTAGTTCATTCCCAAAAATATCGTTTATTTTACATCTATTTCGTTCGATTTCTCACAAAATGATTGGTCAGTAAAATACGATAGTTTTGAAAATCGATTTTTTTATTTCTCTGGACAATGCAAGTTGTTAAGCCATCGTTTTCTTTCTGAGCAACACAAACTTTCACAACAATTTTGCTTGTTTACGAAAACGTTGCTCATTTCTAATTAAAGGGAAGGATATTACCCTTAAAAATTGATAGATGCCCCCCCCCCATCTGCAAAAATTGGGAGTGTCTTTTCAACTATTAAAATTTTGAGGATGGAATGAGATAGATGTATCAATGTGTCCTAGCATGTTTATACTTGTCTCAAATGAACTCAAAATGTAAACAGTGCTGTGTGGCAAGTCCTAAATATAATGGTTCCCATAAACTTTTCTCTAAACAGCAACTGTGGAAGTATCCGTATTTTATTTTGTGATGGAAAGTTATCAACAAATAAGAAGATTTTCTACCACTAAATAAACAATAACTTTTCCATCGATGATCAGTAAAAGGTTTGAAGGGTACTATAGTGAATCGGTGAAGATTGAGGCTCCCTTGAAACTTCATCTATAGTAGGGCTGGCCTATACCCACATTAATTTTTCGCGTACACTCGCTTTTATTCATTTTAACTCGTTCTTTTTTTTGTTAGTTTTAATGTTTTTTTCATTTCTCTAAACTATCAAAGTTATTCGTCCATCGTTCGTTTTTTTTCTGAACGACACCATCTTTCACACTCACAGACACACTGTTTTAAACCATTCGTTAATGGTTAGTTAAAGACTGTCCCATTTTTCATCAAAGTTTGTTTAGACCTAAACGAAGGATATTTTAGAAAGTGCGATTTAAATTCGATCCGATTTCAAGATTAACAGTTTTTGCTTCATTAACAGTTTCATTAACTTAAAAAAAAATTGCGGTTCGTTTTAAAAACATTGCCTAGTAATAAATTTAATCCCTTGAACTGCTTATCTATATATAGATTTGGCTTGTCTGTCTGTTTGTTTGTTTGTTTGTCTGTTTGTATCCAATAAACGTCAAAACGGCTGAACCGATCCGGCCCAAATTTTTTGTGGGACAGGGACCCCAGGCAAGGTTTATGAATGATCAAAATTTCAAATATTTGTCTCCATCAAAATTCGACCTTCATTAAATGTTTGAAAATTTTGAAAATCCGCGAATTATTTTTGTTTTGTTTTACGATGTACACAAAGAGAACATGTTCACAATTAATTTAGAAGATGGGCGCGAAGCCCTCTAAGGCTAAAAAGAAGGGCGAGAAGAGCCTTGATATATATCTATTTATAAATTTGGCTTGTCTGTCTGTTTGTTTTTTTGTCTGTTTGTATCCAATAAACGTCAAAACGGCTGAACCTATCGGGCCCCAATTTTGTGTATGACCTTACGTGACCCCAGGGAAGGTTTATGAATGATCAAATTTTAAAAATTTGGGTTTAAAAGTTTTTTATTTTTGTAATAGTTTTGAAAATGCTCGAAAAAATATTATGCAATCTAGAATGGGTTCCTACACTGACACTTCAATAATACTAATGTGTCCAGTACCAGAGATGAAACCAAAATATTTTAATATATTTAAACCGTTCTCATTCTACATCTGGATGGGGTAAGAACTTTTTTTCAGTTGTATTAGAAATTGTTTAATTTTTTTAAAACATCTAGCTGCCTCATTTTTTTATTTAGGCCCAAATTACAGTGAGAACCAGAAAAGTCTGGAATAGAAAGACGACTGTAAGACTCGAGTTATGACTTTAAATAGGCCAATATAAACATAAGACACGTCAATTACTTGAGCAGTGTAAACAGACCCGTTGTTAGCGTGTTGTATTCCTACTCCTCAGTTATTATGGTTCTTACTGTTAATGATAACATGTGTTTAATAAAGTAGATTCATACATTCGACAAAAGTACATATTTGAGCTCTTTTTGAATAAACGGAAAACAAAATTTACAAAAAAAATATGGAACCCGGGTTGTCTGGTTCAGACGACCGCTAATAAAACCTTCACTGATAGTTTCCATCATTTCGGCCCTAAAATAAATCGTTAATGGTAGGCGATTATATCAATACAAAGAAGACGACTTTTTTAATTTTGTTAGCACGCTTTTTTGATTTACAAGTTTATTGGTACTAGCCTTAGAGGGCGTTTCGCGCCCATCTTCTAAATAATTGTGAACATGTTCTCTTGGTGTACATCGTAAAACAAAACAAAAATAATTCGGGGATTTTCACAAAAAATTTTGCGGATTTGCAAAATTTTCAAAAATTTAATGACGATCAAATTTTGATGGAGACAAATATTTGAAATTTTGATCATTCATAAACCTTCCCTGGGGTCCCTAGATGTCCCACAAAAAATTTGGGCCCGATCGGTTCAGCCGTTTTGACGTTTATTGGATACAAACAGACAGACAGACAGACAGACAAACAGACAGACAAGCCAAATTTATTTATAGAGATTTAAAGACAATTGTCAGCTTTTTCTGACTTCTTTGTTTTTGTTTATTGATGCTATTTAACAGCTTCATATGAATAAAAATTGAAATCGAAAGTCGTCTTCATCATATTAATAAAATCGCCTACCACTATATTTATTTTTAAACAGGCGAACAAACCCTTTAATTCACTTATAACTATTTAAGACTGATTGTAGCAATACTGGGGAGTTCTATCGTCTTCCATCTGTTTCAAGTTTACAGGAATACATGAAAATATATTTCTTAGAGTTTTCTAGTTGTGAGTGAAAAACTTGGTCGTAATTACTTTAAAGTTGGAAATTTTGACCTTTTTACTTAATTATATTTTGGAATTCACTCATTGGCTAACAATAATTTAAGCTTTTATTAGTTTTCATATATCTATGTTGCAGTAATGAGGAATCTATATTTAGCCTGCACAACTCTTTCTTTGATGTTTATGGAATGATTTTTACGAACTACCGGTAACATTTAAAATTATAAAGAGACAATCACATAAAATTGGCAAAAAAAGGGATTTTTAAAAACAATTATTGACAATTGTAAAAGATTAAATAAAAAAATGGTCGATGAACAATAAATATACATTCCTTGCACCCCTCTTTACTTTTTTCTAGAGGGGGGGAGCGTTGGGTATGGGTCCCCTCACCAAAACTTTATTTATAAGTACTCTGCAGCCTTTTAAAAATGATGATATGAAAGCTACATGTTAGCGATCTTACAAGATAAAGAAATCATTTTTTAAGGTCTAAAAAAAAACACATTTTATTTAGGAAAATTAAAGGTCCTGGAAAATATTTTATTGGAGCAGGATGGGCAGTGTTTGTCATGTTCTTCATATTCTTCTTTAATAGCAAACTCAGTGCTTACTTAATCAGTTCAGACTATAATGATCCAATAGGTACTATAATTAACAGCATTATTATAAATACACAATAAATTTTATTAGAGAGAGTTTGGAAGATCTGGTTTATAAATCCAACTTAATTTTTACAATTATAAATATACATTATAAACTATATTATAGATAGTTTGGATGATCTGGTTTACAAATCCAACTTAATCTTTACAATTATGAATATACATTATAATCTATATAATAGATAGTTTGGATGATCTGGTTTACAAATCCAACTTAATCCTTACAATTGCATCAGACCGACAATGGGCCCCAGAAAATGAGAAATACTACAAGACTCTTGGTATCAAATAATTAGATAAATAAATGAATTTTGCTTTATAGATACATAATAATAATAATATAAAACTAATGGAAAAATTATATTTATCAGAAGAGCTTGGTAGATTAAATGAGGTTGGGGGAGCGAATGATTATAGATATGCGAATAGGACGCATTGTACTGCACACACTACAATTTCTGTAAGTAAACAACCATATCGAAGTAGCGGAAGCAGGGGTACCATGATGCTCACTGAAAAAGTATCCAAGTCTCCTGATTTGCAGATTACAGAATGACCTTCAACTCCCACAAAATCATTTCCTTGCCTCTCCAAGTCACTGCTAATTCTGTCTCTGCGGTTCACTGTTTTTTTTTATGATACAATTACTATTAAAAAGTCTATCTTAATTTAGATTTAGACTTGCATTTTTATTTTAGTAAATTTTTCACAAATCCTTGAGTCTATGAAGAATTTTACAGTTCTTTTATAAAGATTTTATTTTATTTTATTTTACAGGTGAGTCATGCATGAACATGAACCCCTAACAGATTCATTGTGTAAAATTCCATCTTTCGCCTGGAGGATGAATAAAATAACTCAATTACCTAACCCCCCCCCCTTTAAAAAAAAGTAAGCCTCCCCTAAACATAATAGTTTTGTGAAATACTAGAAGATCATTCTGCTAATGTGGAGGCTTGGAGACCATATCCTCAGGGATCATGGCGGCGGTGCAGCCCTACAAAACCCCTAACCAACATCTTCCCAAATAGTACCGTTTTAATTAATAGAAATATCCCAGGCTGAAGATGGTGTTCACAGAAACTTGGTCGATTTTGGGAAACCAATAATTAGGCTAGGGCGGGTTCCCTATATATTCGACGATGAAGGGACATGTTTTGCATGTCGGTAAGTAATATAAATATAATAACAAATCTATCGGAAAGGAATTGAGTCCTTGCCACAAACTCTGATTTTCTAATCCATACATACTTTGGAATCCAATGCCGTAGACCTTAGATATTAAATATGAATTCTGTTAGATGTAACAATATTAGTTTGAACTATCAAAGGTTTACATTATCAGGTTGCAAAGATGTAAAGATGATAAAATTTGAGTTTGTGGCAAAGACATAATTATTTTTGAAGCAGTTTAGTAGGTTTGTAGAAAATGCCTAAACTCCTCCTTAGTCTTTATCAGCCTAAATGCGCTGTTTTAATCTCTAACAACAAAAGGTGTAACTCCAGTATTCTCTAATATGTATCAATCCTGATACAACACTCTATATATTCAAGTAAGTATCAAATCCTGATACAACACTCTCTGTATCCTCAAGTTGGTATCAATCCTCTCAAGTAAGTATCAATCCAGATCCACCACCTACTGTATTCTCACGTTTGCATCAATCCTGATACAACTCCTCAAACTCTGTTTTCTCTACCTTACATGGTATATACAGGGTGTCCCAAAAACATGAGAATTCAGTGACGAATTGGATATCGTCGTTGTTATGAATTAGCATTGTAATACCTAATTTCAAAAGCCGTAATATTATTATGTCTGCTAGAGTTTATTTTATGAAAAGACTGTAAAGATGTGCAGTGTCTATAATGACTCCGCAAGATGAATAGTGAAGACGGACAAGTTTACTCTGTTTGTATACTGCAATTTTCTTGTTTTACTAAGTACACCCTTATGGAGTCAAAACATAAACAAACAAATGTGAACATAGCAGAGGAAACTCTTACAGATTACAGCTTTCTCAGTAGGTATCACTACACTAAATCAAAGAATTATTTGAAAAGACGATATCGAATTCGTCACTGAATTCCCATGTTTATTGGGACACCCTGTACTATCCGTAAATAACAAGAGTCTGTGTTGAACTGTCTATATTTAGATATAAAAAGGCGCAGGTAAACAAGTTGACCGCAGCTAGGGTCAATGAACTATATTTACGGGTTTCAAAGATAAAAATGAAATAGGGGTTTTATTACAGTTTTCATGATTAAGATAATCCATCTTGTGATAATACTTTCTTTATGATATTTTATAGGCGAAAAAATAACTTTTGTGAGGAACTGGACAAGACGTTTATCTTGGCGCAAGAATTTGGAATATTCAAGAAAATAAAACTCCAGTTTATCAGGAAACTTTCCTAAACTTTTAAAATATCAATTTTGCTAATTTTAAAAAGATGAATCCTCCATCGTTACACTAATTAAATAAAACACTAATTTGATATTTATTATAAATTCTTTCATTGGGATTCATTCTAAACCATTTTTCGCCTTCAACCCCCCTTTTTAATGCGGCCACTTCAAAGGGGACTGTTGCCCATTCAAAGAAGACAATCTTCAATTTACCTTTATCACGTTAAACCCTAATTAGTCTGTTCATCAAGTAAAGAGATGTGTGTTTGTAACACTATTGAAAACCGCTAAGCACAAAACTGAAGACAGGGTATCATTATGAAAACCAGTTTTGGAACCCGGGTTTCACCAATGGCTTTACCCAGTTTTGTAGATATCGATGTTTTTGTTTTGAAATATTATTTTATTTAGTTTCTTCATAATTACCATTTTTTTCGAATCTCTTAAATCAAAATCTACAATAATAAGACCACAAAAAGGGAACTCGGGAGTTTCGTTCTTATTAATTTCGTACTGATGCACGTAGTGAGAAAACAGTTTAAAATTCGTGGTAGTATCTAAATTGTGAGTTTAGCAAACCTTTCTTGAGAATAAAGTGGTAGTTTTTATTCAAACAATAATAATTTCCTCTGCATAACTATCTTAAGATACTTTTGGGTTTCACAACTTTTTTGCAACATTTAAAAAAAAACTGCGCTTATGTTTTTTTGGAAAAAGGAAATCACCATATAATCTTGCATAATTGAAATCTAGAAAAGTTTTTTTTTAAGGATTTCAGAAGAGCAGAAAACCCCAGCTCCAACCAACTCTCTCGTTCTGGAACACTTCCTTCTTCCCTTCATTATTCTACTTGGAGGAATAATAATTTCATTCATTATTTTTATTCTAGAACTTGCCAAACATTCAAGCAAGACAACAAATATTAATCTAAATAAAATCGGTTCATCGGATCTAGAAACTAATGGCAGAGGGATATAAATTCTCAATTGAAAAATGTGGTTGCATTGAAATTGTATCTAGATATTAATTGGTGAAAATAAAAATAGAAAAACTTTAAACAAATTACTTATTTAATGAATCTTTAAATCTCAAATAGTTGTTGATGGTTTTATTTTTACAAATGATATGGCCTTTCCATCTTATCTTTTATTAGGCCATTGAAACCAATTGTAGCATAAGCCAACTAGGGATGGGTCGTTTAAACTTTTTTAAAAGCGATTGTTTTTAAAAACAGCCCTTTGCTGACTTAAAGACATTAATAACCTTGTCTTCCTGAAAAAAATTTAAATTGTCAAAAATTTCCTAACGAGTGGTTCGCTTTCAAAAACGATAGTTTTTTTTCTAGAAACGAAACGATCGTTCTTAGAAAAAAATAAAATCGGGACGAAAAATGAAAAACAGAAACTTCATTACCTTATGTGTGTCTGTTGTAAATGCCCTACTCCATCAGAGTTCTTCAAACCCGTATCTTTCTAGGTACAACTCTTCAATATAATTCTCAATCTCAACTGATCTATTAATGCCAAAGCACTGGGCATGGTTTCCGAGACTATTAATGCCAAAAACTGGGCACGATCTTATAGACTTTCAATGCCAAACACTGGGCACAATCTCAACTGTTCGATCAATGCCAAACACAGGCACCATCTCAACTTTTCTATCAATACCGAACACTGGGCACGATCTTATAGAATTTCAATGCCAAACCACTGGGCATGATCTCAGAGACTATTAATACCAAACACTGGGCATGATTTCAGAGACTATTAATGCCAAACACTGGGCACCATCTCAACTGTTCTATCAATGCCCAACACTGGGCACCATCTCAACTTTTCTATCAATACCAAACCACTGGACACGATTTCATAGACTATTAATGCCAAACTCTAGGCACCATCTCAACTGTTCTATCAATGCCAAACACTGGGCACAATCTCAACTATTCTATCAATGCCAAACACTGGGCACAATATCAACTGTTCTATCAATACCAAACCACTGGGCATGATCTCAGAGACTATCAATGCTAAATACTGGGCACAATCTCAACTATTCTATCAATGCCGAACACTGGGCACAATCTCAACTGTTCTATCAATGCCAAACCACTGGGCATGATCTCAGAGACTATTAATGCCAAACACTGGGCACCATCTCAACTGTTCTATCAATACCAAACCACTGGGCACGATTTCAGAGACTATTAATGCCAAACTCTAGGCAACATCTCAACTGTTCTATCAATGCCAAACACTGGGCACAATCTCCACTATTCTATCAATGCCAAACACTGGGCACGATCTCAACTGTTTTATCAATACCAAACCCCTGGGCATGATCTCAGAGACTATCAATGCCAAACACTGGGCACAATCTCAACTATTCTATCAATGCCAAACACTGGGCACAATCTAAACTGATCTATCAATACCAAACCACTGGGCACGATTTCAGAGAATATTAATGCCAAACACTGGGCACTATCTCAAATGATCTATCAATGCCAAACCAATGGGCATGATCTCAGAGACTATCGATGCAAAACTCTAGGCACCATCGCAACTATTCTTTCAATACCAAACCACTGGGCACGATTTCAGAGGCTATCAAGCAAAACTCTAGGCACCATCTCAACTATTCTATCAATGCCAAACCACTGGGCATGATCTTAGAGACTACCAATGCAAAACTCTGGGTACAATCTCAACTATTCTATTAATGCCAAACACTGGGAACTATCTCAAAGACTACCAATGTCAAACCCTGGGCACAATCTCAACTATTCTATCAATGCCAAACACTGGGCACTATCTCAAATGATCTATCAATGCCAAACCAATGGGCATGATCTCAGAGACTATCAATGCAAAACTCTAGGCACCATCGCAACTATTCTTTCAATACCAAACCACTGGGCACGATTCCAGAGGCTATCAAGCAAAACTCTAGGCACCATCTCAACTACTCTATCAATGCCAAACCACTGGGCATGATCTNGCAAAACTCTAGGCACCATCGCAACTATTCTTTCAATACCAAACACTGGGCACTATCTCAGAGACTACCAATGTCAAACGCTGGGCACAATCTCAACTAATCTATCAATGCCAAACGCTGGGCACAATAAAACTATTCTATAAATGCCAAACACTGGGCACAATCTCAACTATTCTATCAATACCAAACCACTGGACATGATCTCTGAGACTATCAATACCAAACACTGGGCACAATCTCAACTATTCTATCAATGCCAAAAACTTAGCACGATCTTAACTGATCTATTAATGCCAAACACTGGACATGATCTCTGAGACTATCAATACCAAACACTGGGCACTATCTCAACTATTTTATCAATACCAAACCACTGAGCACAATCTCAACTATTCTATCAATGCCAAACCACTGAGCACAATCTCATAAACTTGTACGCTAAACGATGAACAATTACTTCTCCCAAAGTAATCAAAAGGAAGTCTATTCCAACAAATGTGTATTTAGATATCTATGTTACAGATTAAGTTTGATATACATACTAACAAGCTTTGCATAGTTATATACAACATAGTTAAGCTAATTACATTATGGGGTTGACTGAATCATATATATATATATATATACGTATCTAAGTTAGGTTAATTGCAATACAAGATTTGCATATTTACTGATCATGGTATTTTTTGGGCCAAAAAAGAATTCCAAAAAATATTGAAAAAATACCATACAGGAGAGTTGCAAAACAAAATTGAAATTTTGAACTAGATGCCACTAATCACAATATTTTTTTACTCACTCTATGTATGTGAACCAAGTTTTTATGTACTCATCATTATTCTTTTAGTTATAAAGACAATTTTTGTTATTATGGCAAATACAAAATATCTTGTCAATAGCTTGTAAAAAGAAGAAAGACAGTTTTAAAACAGAATAATTATCCGTCTAAAATTAAATTTACTGTAAAATTAGTTAAAAATCAGTTTTTAGTCTTACTTAATAAATTTTTACATTTTCTGAGGTTGTATGGTGACATGGCCTGCTCCCCACCCCTAGTATATGCGCCAAAGCACTTTTGAAACTCCCCCCCCCCTTCTTTTCAAATTTAAGAATTTGTTTATTACCTATATTAGTAAAAAGAGTGCAATTGAAGTAGAGATTTTGTGATATTTTTATACAATTAAAATTAACAAGATATTTTCAACGATTTTCTTTAGAAAAGCTTCTCTTTCTAATTTGGGAATATGTATTATTTTTAAAAAATATCAAATACTACCTTGGGAACCACCCAGCTTTGTCTGAAAATGTTCTAAGAAAAGTCAACTCACTAAATCAGGCAAAAATATTTTTCTCGTCAATCGGTCCAGGTTCCAGGCCAGTTATGATAGTTAATCCAAAGTAACAGACAGAAAGACAGACGAAGGTACCCTCTTAATTTTTTTTAGATGTTGAAGTCATCGTTTACCTGCTCTTTCTGTAATTCTGCTTTAAACTTCTCTATCTAATGTAGAACAACTAGAGTTGCACCTCGAACCACTGGATATTGCCAATTTGAAAATTTTTTAAAATTTTAAAAATTTTTGATCCAGGACAGAGAAACAAGTTTTTTGGCGCACTCTAGCAAATTTCAATGTCCATTTTCTGCCTATAATTTGTTCAAATTTTCAACAAATTTTATAATTTTAACATTTTTAGATTCAGTGTTTCAAAACAAACTTATTTTGAAGAAAAAATTTGCTTGCACTTGTGAATTAATATTTCTTTTAATCTGTTTAAGTGAAAAAACTTTTAAGATACAAGCTAAAAGGATAAAGAAAGTGCAAAATGGTCCCACCTTTACTGATATATTAAAAATTAAAATTAAGTTTTAATATTTTGAAGTAATGAACAACACCATATGGCAATATAAAAAATAAAGGTGCTTTTGCCCTATTTCCCTAAATTATCAAATTAATTTGAACATTAATTTTTAGAAAATAAATCATAATAAAATTGATAAGTTTTTCAAAATACAGGGTATAAGTAAAAAAAAAGTATGAGTAGCAGTGTATCTGCCTTTTTTGAGCAACTGTCCTGTGTGGTATTTTTTCAAAAAAATTTGGAATTTTTTGGTATTTCATTGGCCCAAAAAAACCTTGAAATATTTTTTCTCTTAAAATCAAAAGTTCAAAAAGAAAAAATGTGTATATGTGGCGGAAGACGATCCAAGTTTAAACCGGATAGAGAGACGCGGCAAGAAGAACTCAAAGCTGCCACGTCACCATGAATAGACATATTATTTGATTTCTTAAATTGATAAAGTAAATTTAGTCAGTAATAAAGTATTTATTTAAACCCGGCGTTTATCCTTCCGAGCGTAGCTAAATATATCTACTATTTCTTTCAAATTCTAAAATTTTATTAATATTTTTTTAAAAGTATCAAAATCGAGGGGTGAAGCATTTTGCAAAAATTAATCAAAAATTTTGAAAATGGTGAGTGCTGAGCCATTTAAGAAAAAAATAGATAGATCACATTTCTAGTTAGACGAACAATATCAATTTAGGTATCAAAAGATGCATCAAACCTCTAAAATATGATTAAAGTATGAAATCACATGAAAGGTCACATTATAAAAGATGTTTAAGCAACATTTCCTGGAATCTGTTCTCCTTCAACCAATAATTTATATTACAGTTTTAAGACCAATATTCATTAAATTTTAAAATTTGATAGAAATAATAAATAATAAATACACTTTTTTGCTTTTCTGAAATTTTGATTTTGAGAGAAAAATATTGAAAAAATACCAAACAGGAGAGTTGCACATAAAGAGGTACAATTTTGCTCCAAACGCTGCTCATTTTAACCCTGATTATTTCTTAATCTTTATAACATCCTCATGCTTTTACCATTCATTTTGACGTATGTGTATGTATAAGGAAACATAAGTTGACTAGGCTTAGAATTTTCTGTGTAGTCAACAATTGTGGACAATAAAACTTTAACTTTAAAATTTATTTGAGAAATGATCAAGTTTAACATTCG